CTATGACATACAACTATCTACTGGGGCTTTGGGGGGAAAATAAATAAATAAATAAAATTAAAAAACAAAAATAAATAAATAAATAAAACTTTTAATATGCAAAGCAATACCATATATTTGGTGCTTAAGGAAACGTAAATATAAAGTAAAACTACAAAGATGTGCATGGCAATGATAAGCTTAGGACGGGAGTACCTCGAGGAGGGGGAGGGAACTGAGATCACAGAAGGATACAGAGGTGGCTTTCATTTTATTTATTTATTTATTTTGTGAGGAAGATCAGCCCTGAGCTAACATCCACTGCCAATCCTCCTCTTTTTGCTGAGGAAGATTGGCCCTGAGCTAACATCCGTGCCCATCTTCCTGTATTTTATATGTGGGACAGGGCCACAACATGGCTTGATGAGCGGTGTGTAGGTCCGTGCCCAGGATCCAAACCCGCGAACCCTGGGCCACCGAAGCAGAGCGCGTGAACTTAACCACTACACCACCAGGCCGGCCCCAATTTTATTTCTAATACTTCATTTCCTAAGTCGGAGTCCATGGGTGTTTGTATCATTTATAAAACCTTTCTGAATTTCTAAAACTGTCAAAGCACATTTTTCTTCAACTGTGAATTTGCTTTCAGAAACCGCCGGGGCCCAGGGCTCAGGGAACTCACCAAGGATGGTGAAAATGACCATGAAACTCACCAAGGATGGCGAAAATGATCATGAAGAAGAGCAGCAGCAGGAGGATGTCCATGAAGGGCGGCAGCGACTGGAAGATCTGCCGCAGGTTGCTGGGGAGAGACGGGGCCAGGGTGGCGCGAGGCACAGCCAGGGCCGGGGCAGGGCCCAGGAGAGCACCGTCTGGGGTCCCTCAGTGGGGCACACCCTCGTCCGTCTGGGGCTCCACAGTGGGGCACGCTCTTGTCTGTCTAGGGCCCCTCAGTGGGGTACGCTCTTGTCGAGATGGGGGCCTGGTACTCCTGACCCACAGAACCCTAAATCCCATCCGCCCTGCCTGTGACATCACGCTTACTGTTTTCCTAGAAGACTTCCACTCAGTGGGTGACGGGGAAGAACAGGGGGTGTATAGCACACACAGCCACCTCCCCCTGTCACAGTGCCCAGCAAGAGACAGAGGCGCAGCAGAAGGCCAAGAGCACGGCCCTGGGTGCAAAGGTCAGCTTCCACGAGCAGGATGTGGGATGCGAGAAGACATTTCAGGACCCCTAGTTCTGGGACACCTGTTTCCAGCTTTGAGGATGGGGCCAAAGAATAAATCATAGCCCATTCTCATCAACAGTACCCCAGCCAAGAGATTTGCCAGACGGAGTCTTCAAAACTAAGTCTAACTCTAGGCTGCTGGTCTGGTTTGAGCTCAGTCCCCCGTCTCAGTGGAGGTGTCAGGACAGCCTGCTTTAGGCTGCCGCCGCTGCTGTGTTCAGGCAGGTAATGGGCTCAGAGAGGGGAGCCAGCCCCGGCGGGCTGCAGGGAAGACAGGAAAGAACCCTGGACCCTGAGTCGGGAACCCTGAGCTTCAGCAGGAGTACCCCGTTCCTCTTTGTGGGTCACATGGCAGAGGGAGGTGAGTGTGCTCACAGCCCACCAACATGCAGGACTGGTCTTATGGCTACGGGACTCACTGGGTCCTGCTCCACCAGCCCAGAGGGCTGGACCAGGCCGTGAGCACCACTGTGTGAGCGGCTCCCCCCTTGGGCCTTACCGCCGGACGCCGCCGCAGTACCGACAGTCCACCAGGAAGATGCAGCGCAGCGCCCGGGTCACCCGCACGTGCGAGGTCTGCCGTACCAACACCACGATGGCCTCGATGAACTGCACCAGGAGCACCGAGGTCTGCAGAGGACAGGCCCGGAGCACCGTCAGCATCTCCACCCCAGCCTGCTCCCGGACACCCTGACCTGAGGGCTGGCTAGGTACCGCGTCCCTGGCCTCGAAAGGCCCCTCCCTTCTCTCCAGCTCTCTCTCCTACCTCCCCCAACATCACGTAGCCCCTGGGGAGGAGCCGTCCGCTGCTGGCACAGATGTGTGGTCCCAGGAGAATGGACCCAAGAGGAATGCTCCCAGCAGCTGCTCAGGTGGTATTCGCTGAGCAGGACCACTCTGCCCGGCCACATCTACCCCCCTTGGCTTTCGGCTCTCCCTGCTCGAACCACGAAGGCCCCTGAGGTCCGTAGTGCATCCTGATCTCCGACTCCTTGGGCACGTTCTCCCAGACAAGCGTACGCACCTTTCACACCACCAAGCACCACTCTGACCCATTCCAACTTACGCCTCTCTCTGTTGCACAGAGAAGGTGTTTGATACTGGTTACTGATCAGTGTGGGCTTGGAGGTCAGACAGACCTGGGTGTGAATCCCAGCTCTGCAGGGTTTAGATCTTATTCTCTTCTGACTGGCTGGATGTACACTAGGAATAGTAATTCATCTCCCACAAAGGTTACCGTGCCAGTGCTTGGCACGCACAGAATACCGAATCACATCAGCCACTGTTGGCATCACTGTGACATCTGGGGCACGGTCTGCAAAGCTGGAAGCATGGTGAGGACAGGGACCCAGGGTTACACTTCTGAGCGCCGGACCAGGCCCACTGGGGATGTGGAATTGAACTGAAGATACAGGCTTGAAGGCGACGTGGGGGAAAATGCTGGAAGGAGATGGACCCATCACCTTGACCATGGTCCGTTTGTGCCGGATGAAGGTATGGAGGCCCAGCCACCGCAACTTCATGCAGAGTTCAAACACGACCACCATCAGGGCAAACAGCTCCAAGGTCGCGTGGACCTGCAACCAAGGGGTGTGGAGGAGACATGGCATCACCAGCCCCTCTCCTCGCCTGCTGGTGACCACACCTGACTGCCTTTTCCTCTGAGGCTGGAGACAGTGGGACTGCTAATCAGGTGCGCTGCCCACCTGGAGCCAAGGTGGAGCCAGCCCCTCCCTGGAAGTTACTAGAGAGCAGAGTCACAGAGAGACTGGGGGAGGTGCATTCACTCAGCAGGGACCCCAGGCAAGCCTGGTGAGCCACTGCTGCTCCTGAGGCCTCGATGACCTCCCAGGGCCTCTCTGTTTGAAATCTGTTCACTGTGTCTGCCCTTCCAGAATGTTCCTGTTCAGGCTTGAGTTAGCCTGAGAGACGGTTTCTGGTGCTTGCCCCCAAGAGCCGTGGCTCCCAGCCGCGCGGACACTCACGTAGATGCCGAGCCGGAGCGCAGGGACGGCGGGGGCCTCGCACAGGGAGAGCAGCAGCAGGAGGAGGGCCGTGGACAGCTCCATCAGGTAGAAGAGGTGGTTGTGTGCGAAGAGGTAGGCCGCCAGCGCTTTGGCATCCTTGGGGTGGGTGAAGAACTTGTCGTTATTCTCGCCTTCCTGGAAAAACAAGGGCCGCGTGGGCGCACGAGCCTCGAGATGACACAGCACCAACGAGCGGCATGGGCAGGGGAGAAAGGAAGGCCCCCGGCAGATAAGAGGACACTCGGGCCAGAGACGGAAGAAGACGGAAAATCAAAAGCACTATCTTCACAAAACTGCACTGGAGTCAAGTCTCTCCCATCCTGCTGATGGGGCTCAGAAGACTCGCTGCTTCCTAGAGACCACCTGGAGGAACCAAAGGATCAGAAGTCCCAGAGAACGAAGAAGCAGCCATGTCTGATCCCCCAGAGGCCAAATGCCCACTCTCACAAGTGTCTGCGGAACGTAAAGAGCTGGGGGTCCGGGGCAAACGAACATGGCTGAGTCCTGGCTTCCTCCCTCCTCCCGGGGTAACACTGAGAGCTCCTTCACCGTCGTCAGCCGTCAGTGGGATAACACGAGTACTTCCTCCCAGGGCTCCTAGAAGACACTGAGCACGGCATCTGGCACACGTAAGCTCCCCGCAGACATGAGCTTTTAGTATGATGAGTTACAGCAACGCTGAGACAAAAAAAGAAGCCTGAGGGTACCTCTACTATACTCTGGCTTGACTCAGGCTGCCCCATACCCCACTCCTTAATTTACTCTGCTATTTCCGCCTAATTCCCTAACCCCTGGCAAAGGACGGGCCTTGCGCTCGATTCCTGCACCCCGACAGGAATGAGACAGCAGCCAACCCCGACCAATGCCCACCAGCCCGGGCACCGTGCTCAGCCCCTCCCTGAGCCCTGGACCCTCCCTGACTCCCGACCGCTCCCCGTCAGGCAGGCACTCTGTCACCCCACCTGACGGAGAGGAGAAGCGGGGGCCCAGGGAGCGTGGAGAGCTGAGCTGACAGAGCCGGGGGTCTGACTCCAGCGTCCTTGCTCTCCTACTCACTGGCCTCCTTCTGATGAGGCAGAAAACGAACGACAGAGCCCCGGGAAGGCTCCACTTGGGAGGACAAGCAGATGACACCCTAAGGCCGTTGCTGACCCTCCCTGTCAGGACTGGCCTTCCTCTGGGGGGCCCTCACTGCCTCCCTGGAGTTGCGGGCACAGGGATAAGTAAGGGACGACCCACTGCATCAGCTTTATCACATCGGTAGCCTGCCCAGCAGCCAACATACGGTGAGTGCTTACTTGGCTAATGCTTTGCAGGCGTCACTCTACCTCCGGGCTTCTCAACAGGGGGCAGTATGCTCCCTGCCCTCCCCCACCCCACCCCAGCCTAGAGACGTGTGATGGTCACACCTGGTGGTGCTGCTCGCATCGAGTGGGTAAATTCCAAGGATGCTGCTCGACATCCTAAAATGCACAGGATAGACCGCCCCCACCACACAGAATTTTCCCACCCCCATGTCGGTAGCACCGAGTTGAGAGCCTGCCCGTTCACTCCCAGCGCTAACACTCAGAACAGACACTCCTCCCATCGGCTCTAATTCCTAGAGGAGGAAAGTAGCAGAGACAGAATGGACCCAGGTCCCCTCAGCCAGAGCTCAGCCAGAGCCCCTCTGAGGGCATTCCAGCCATCTTGGAACGCAGTCAGACCTTCAACTACTCCAGCTGTTCCACTCTTCTGGGACCAGGGCACCTCACCATCCTCACGACCCTTATTCCAGGGAGGGTGAAACTAACACCCACCATGGCGATTCCTGCAGAAGTTGCAGAGCCAGGCCGCCAGGAAGAACGTCTCTGGGCCCAGAGGTGGTGCAGGGTGCCATGAAAACAGCTGTGGCCTGGTGGGCTCCCACGCCAGCCCAAGGTGGCTTCAGCTGGCCAAGCCTGTCTCAGAGAATTGGGAAGGCAAGGGGTATTGGTGCGTCCTCGCCTGGCATGGGGCCTGGCACATACAGTAGGTGTTTAATAGATGTTTGGTAGGATCTTTTGCAAGAGATCACTTCTCCAGGCCCCAGCCTGGCCCGGGGACTGTCCAGTGGCCAGGAGGCGGGGAGCTCTGACCTTGGCTGTGGTTTGCAGGGTAACTGAACGAGTCACTTCCCTGAAGCTGGATATGTCACTACCCTCATTACCAAAAAATAAAGACAAACCACAGACTCGACAGGGAAGGGCCCGACAAAGGGAACAAACATCCGGCAGTCATACCGAGGGCAAGCTGGGCAGGCCTCACTCACAGTCCTGTGATCTGGGCAGGGCTGTGGCTTTTACCACCACTGCCATGGCCGGGGGACACACACAGAGGCCTGGGAAGCTTCTGATCTGGATTACTAAAAAATGCAATTCTTCAGTAATTTCTCCCAACAAATAGCCAGGAATGAGGGTCTGGCTAGAGGAAACCGCTAACATGGGGGCTCAGATTTTCACTCTAGGACTTGGAATGGCCACAGAGGAGATGGAGGATGAGGTCTCCACCAACAAGGATGGAGTGAAATATTACCCACAACACTGGATTCTGACCCAAACGCCAAGAAGAACACTGGCCTTGCTTCCTGGCTGCTGATCGTGAACTAGATTAGGAAAAATAAGAAGGCAGGCCAGTTGTACATGACTTCCAGGCCTTCGATCTCTGCTCCCTGGGGCAGAAGTCCACGCAGGAAAACGAGTCATGTCTCAGAAGCGCTGGGACCACTGAGAACATGGCTCCCGAGGGTTAGCGAGTTAACAGGGAAAATTTGGGAAGAGAGGAAACCGCAGGCACCAGGCATCTTCAAAACAGTGAGGGGCCAATTACCCAAGCCCACCAACAGCCTGGTGCAGGGGCCGAGCTGCAGCTCAGCTGCAGAGCAGGAAAAGGAAGACTATCCGACACCAGCCAAACCCACCCTCCAGAAACAGCCACGAACTACTGTTCACAGGGACCTGAGTTCTGCTTTTATTTTTTAAAAATGGTATATTTTCGGTAAAATAATTCAAATAATATATAGGATTATAAGGTAGTAAATATTCCATCAGCCAAAGATAATCACCTTTAATATTTAGCTAAACAGCTTTCCAGACGTGAACGGGTGTCTGTGCAAACACACACATACACAGGTGTATGTTGCTATATACCTATGTTTGTGTGTGTGTGTATGTATATTTATATACATATATTTATATATACATACACACAAACGTTATATAGAAATGGTCATACTCCCCCTGCTGTTCTGTAACCTCTTTTTACACGGCCCGTTTTCAAGTAGATACATGTGGTCAGGTATAGAAATGAGGCGATGACATACAGAAGAAAGAACATCACTTGGAGGCTAGATGGACACGGTTTAAATCTACACTCAGCCACTTACTAGGTGGGTGGCTTTGGCCTCATTCAGCCCCTCTGAGTCTCAGCTGCTCGTCTGTAAACTGGGAGATAATCAAACCGCCTCGGAGGGTTGCTAGAAAGATTAGCAAGTGCCCATTTAAAGTTAGATGCTTTTATTACCAATATTCTCATCTGCTTAAGGAAAGAAGGAATTATCGGGTTTCTGAAGTTCCCCAGGCCATTCTGTGTTCTGACCTATCCATGCTTATATCTAGCACCACCACCTGGGAGAAGGTGAGAGTGACCCCAGGTGACCCTGCCAGATCATCAACAGGCTTGCTTGAGCTCGCCAAAATGTCCGTAAAACATTTCTTTGCCTTAAACCTGAATCAAAACGCATTTGTTGAGGAGTACAACTATCTGTGATATTGCATAAAACATGAGAAACATACAAATATTTGATATTTATCAAATAAATGTCTGAATTTAATTAAATCTTTAAAAAGTAACAAAACAACTCTCCACGATGGAGAGTTGGTTCAAAGAAAAAAGATTAGGGGAAACTATCATTCAGATGAATTTAAGAAAAATTCCATTTCATCACCCAAACCCTTACTCAGTGCACACCAGAAACTGAAATCTTAGTGACAAGAAGGGCAAAATTAAGGTGACAATACCATAGACAGCGATACTGGCAGTTAAGAGGCAACATCCCCTTGGAGAGTATTCGATACTATACATCAAGAGACCTAAAAAAATGTTGATTCCTTCCACCCAGTAATTCCACTTCTTAGAGTCTTTCCTAATAAAATAATCCTAGATATTAAAAAGAGAAAGAGAGAGTAATAGCTCTATGCATAGATTGTCCTCAGATTATAATTTATAACAGAGAAATGCATGATGCATTAATAAGGGAAACATCAAAAGGGAAAACACCCAACTTAAGTAAATTAGGATACATTTGCCTGATATAAAGTCATTAAAATTTGTTTACAAGAGTTATAATAACACGAGAAAAAAGCTATGCTACACGTTATGGGGAAAAAAACAGACTATACAACTGTAGATACCACATGACTTTAAAATTATCTTAGAAAACACATAAAACCTACATATTATTCTATAAATAAATAATGTTGACAGTGCCTGCCTTACGTGTATATTTTTTTACATCCCCTTTGTCCCTAACTTATTGTAGTAAGCATGTATTACTTTTATAACAAAGTATTATTTTTATAAAAAAAGAAAAAAACAAAAAAACAAGCACGAAATAGCAAACATGAAAGGAGCAGCCAGGTAAACAGGAAAGGAATAAAGATCTCTAAGTCCTCCACACTAGGTCGGCACCCCGGCTACAGTGTTAAATGTATTATAAAGAAGAATTCCCTCCCGAGACCTGGCCTCTCCTGTGCCTCTGAGAACAGGGAGCAGGGCAGGGAAGGCCAGGTAGACAGACTCAGGGAACCTTGGGGGCAGGTAGAGACACAAACTGGGGGTCACAAGACGAGCCCATGCACATCGCCCTTCCTGTATGGGCAAGATCAGGCTGGCTCTTCCCATCCTACAGATGAGAATTTCTGGGATCCAACAGAGCCCCCGGCTACCCCACTCCACCAACAGGCGCCAAGAACAGCCAGGTCCTGACAGGGAGACACTCACCTGGAGGTAGATTGCTGCCTCTTGATAATTCATCTCCCAGTTGTGTCTGGTGGGGCTCGAGGGGGAACTCTCACCCCCTAAGCTCAGACTGGGGGCATGGGAGTCGTGGGTGGCACAGCTGCCTCCATCTGCATTGGAAGAGGAGAGAGATTCACTTACAACCCAGGTTTAAGAGAATCAAGACACCACACACCAGAAGAAAAGGCTGGCATATGCTCAGGCGTATATCCTATTATATACAGGTCAAGGCTCAATCCGTGTACTAACAACAGCAAGAATTAGAATGGCCAGTTAAAAATGTTTTTCTTGGGGCCAGCCCTGTGGCGTAGTGGTTAAGTGCGCGCGCTCCGCTGCTGGCGGCCCGGGTTCGGATCCCGGGGGCGCACTGACGCACCGCTTGTCAGGCCATGCCGTGGCGGCCTCCCATGTAAAGTGGAGGAAGATGGGCACAGATGTTAGCCCAGGGCCAGTCTTCCTCAGCCAAAGAGGAGGAGGATTGGCATGGATGTTAGCTCAGGGCTGATCTTCCTCACAAAAAAAAAAAAATGTTTTTCTTTCTCCTATTAAGTGAAAAAAGCAAGGGCAAAGAACACATATAGTATGCTATTTTTTGTGTAAAAAAGGGAGGAAACAAGAAAACACACAGATATCTACTGATCTTTACAGAAAGAAACGGAAGGATAAATGAGAACTCTGTGAAGTTGGTTTCCTTCCAGGGGTGTGGGGAACAGGGTAGACACGTCACTCAGAGAGAGTGGTCTTTTGTTTACTTTTGACTTTTGGAAGCATGTGAATATTCCACTTAGTCAAAAAATAAAAATAACTGGATTTGTTCCTTGGTGCAGGGTCGTCTGTGGCTCCTGCCTGCTGACATCCAAGCCCTTTTCTTCACGGCGCATCTGCCCTTACAGAACATCCTCTCCCCACTCTCTGTCCGTATTCTTGGCTCTGGCCGACTCCACCCCTGGCTCCCGGGCAGGAGACCCGGGCGCAGTGAGAGCCCCTCATCTGCCCTGGACAGGGACTGGCTCAGGGTGGGGTGCTGACCCACACCCGGCCAATGGGGCTGAACTTGGAACTTCTCCTGGACCAGTTAGGAAGGAGGGGCTCTTTCTTTGTGGCTGCTGGTGGCTGCCTCCGCCACCACCACGTGAGGAAGGCCTGCCTGGGAAGGAAGTCGATGGAGAAAAAAACAAGAACAGGGTAACTCAAGTTGCAACCCTGGGATCCAGATGTGCCTGATACCTACCTCTCAGCGTTTCCAAGATCTGAGCCCATAAAGGCCCTTTTGTACTTTAGCCTGTTTGAGTTGGGCTTGTCACAAAACTCAAGTGTCTCTATTGATGCATCGTAAGCAATGGCACCAAGGAATGACTCTCAGCTTCCTCATTTATTGGGAAGATTTATGCTCATCACCCAGGGTGAGAATGTGGTTCCCCAGAATGCACACTCTAAATGACCCACCCGCAGGAGGATACAGAGTCAAAGGTCTGGATAATGAGACACGCACAGGCGGCAGGAAGCAAATGTGTACAGGTGACAAACAGGAGAGGGGAGGAAACGGGCAGGGCTCATACAGCTGTCCTCTGACCTTGAACTGCCCAGCAAGCGCAGTGGGATCCACCCACCTGCAAAGCTCTTCTCCACCCATTTTTAAAAGTTTTATTGAGGTATATTTACAGACAATAAACTGCACATATTTCAAGTGCACAATTTGATATGTTTTGCCACACGTACACACTTGTGAAACCACCTCTACAATCAACGTAACATATCCGTCACCCCCTCATGGCGCCCCTGCCCATCCTTCCCCAGGGAACCTCTGATCTGCTTTCTGTCACTATTAGATGAATCTGCATCTCTCAGAATTGAATACAAATGGAATCACGTATGTATTCTTTTTTGGTTTGGCTTCCTTCACAGCACAATTATTTTGAAACTGATCTATGTCGTGTGGTGTATCAGTAGCTCCTTCTGTCTTATTGACGAGTAGTATGCCATCATATGCATGTACCACAGTTTACCCTTCAGCTGTTGATGGACATTTGACTGTTTCCAGTTTTTGGTTATTTCAAATGAAGCTTCTATGAACGGTATTGTATAGTTTCGATCTCAATGTTTTTAATTTGCATTTTCCTAGTGACTAATAATGTTGAGCATCTTTCCATATGTTTATTTGCCATTTGTTCACCTTAAGTGAAGTGTCTTCACATCTTTTACCTGGTTCTTTATTGGGTTATTTTCTTATTTTTGAATTTGAAGAGTATGTATAAATATACATATATATACATAGTATATATAAGTCTTTGTCTATTATTAATATATCTACTCTAGCTTTCTTTTGATTATTTCTTTTTTTATTGAAGTATAATTGACATACAATATCATATTAGTTTCAGGTATACATGGTATTGATTTGATATTTATATACAGTACAAAATGATCACCATGATAAATCTAGTTACTTTGATTATTTCTTTTGATTAGTGTAGTTGTGTCCATTCTTTTACTTTCAGTCTCTTCGTGTCTTTATATTTAAACTGTGTTTCTTATAGGCAGCATATGGTTCAGTCTTGCTTTTTTCCTGCAATCTGAAAATCTCTGCCTTTTAATTGGAGTATTTAGATTACTTACATTTAGTGTAATTACTGATATGGTTAGGTTTAAATACATCATCTTGCTTTTTATTTTATATTTGTTCCATCTGTTCTTCATTCTCTTTTTCTGCCTTCTTTTGGATTACTGGATATTTTTTTATGATTCCATTTTATTTCCTTTGTTGGCTTAGCAGCTACAATGCTTTCTTTTGCTATTTAGAGGTTGCTTTAGGGTTTACAGTATACATTTTAAATGTATCACAATCGACCTTCAAGTGATATTATGACACCTCACGTACAGTATAAGCATCTTACAACAGCGTACTTCCCTTTCTCCCTTCCCAACCTTTGTGCTTCTGGAAAGGCAGAAGACTTCTAGTCCACAAACCTATTCTGGATCGAGCTTCATCTCCATTCCCAGGATGAGTAACTAGGTGAATCTTTCTGGAAGGGACTCACCAATGAAGCATTATAAGAAAAGTCATGAGTTAACACTACTTGCAGGCTCTGTGCTACGTGCCCCATGCTGATTAACTCGTGTAATCCTCACAATCCCACAAGGTATGTACTATCATAAATTCTACCGCACAAGGAGGTTAAGCAACTTGTCCCACACAGCTGTAAGGGGCTAAGCCAGGATTTGACCCCAGGCAGCCTGGCCCCAGAGCAGACCCATTTAACCACTGTGCTATACTAGCATCCTTTAAGCAAGAGGAGTCCGAGATAAACGGCAAAAGATGATGGTTTTAAGCCAGTGGTAGAAACATTTATGGAGGCTTACTGCATGCCAAAACCTATTCTGTGGCAGATTTTATTTTCCAAAGAGAGCCACAGCGTTATCTTTCATCCTGCATGCTCCTCTGGAACCTTGCCACTCCCCTACAAAGAGGTGAAGCCTGTGTGAGCCTTTGTGACTGCTTTGACCAACAGAGGGTGACGGACAGAACGCTCATGACTTCCAAGGTTAGGTCATAAAAATGCTTCTACCTTCTTCTCTTGGGACCCAGCCGCCCTGCTGTGGGGACGCCCACGCAGCTGGTGGAGGGGCCCACGGAGAAGGATTGAGGCCCCCAGTCCACAGCCCAGCTGAGCTCCCAGCCGACAGCCAGCACCCACTTGTCAGTCAGCTGAACGAGCCGTCTCAGAAACAGGTCCTCCCTCCTAGTCAGGTGTCCAGACTGACACTGTGTGGAGCAGAGAAGCCGCCCTTCCACCAAGCCCTCTCCAAACTGCAGACCCATGAGCAAAAGTAACAGTGTTGCTATCTGAAGGCACTGCATTTTGGGGTGGTTTGTTATAGAGCAATAGATGACTGATACCTATCTGAGTACTTTATACCACTCAACCTATTTCATTCTCACAACAATCCTACGAACAAGGTAATATCATGATTCCCCCTCCAGACTTGAGGAAACTAAGGTGCAGAAAGGCAGAGTACCTTCCTGAGGTCACGCAGCTAGCAAGGAGCAGGGCTGGGCTACCCGACGAGGCTGGTTAGCTTCTAACCAGTAGGCTACATGCCTCTTGAGAACTGGAAACAGGAAAAGGGTGACAGGGCAGGGCTAAAAAGACCAAAAATATAGCAGCAGCTCCACCACTAAAACGGAGTTACAGGTAGGAGGTGGACATCTGGCCGAAGCTTGCACTTGATGATTCTGCCTCTTCTCCACCCAATGTCAGCATTTCCCACCTCTGCTCCCAGTGCCCGTTTCCGAAAGAACTAGGCCCCAGGCGGAGACAGGAGAAGGTCAAACCACCTTCCTCGATCTGCTCATGTGGACCAGGGAGCATGAGCCAAAATGTGGCTCCCAAGTAGGAGAAGCCGCGGGCAGGCAGCTGGACGGTGCCGTGACCTCGTGTGCCTGCGCCCTGTCCTGCTCGACCTTCACATGCCACGGCAGGGGCCAGCGCCCCAGACGCAGCAGTCCCAGCTAAAATAAACAACAGTGATGGCGCAAGCGGGCAGTGATGAGCTAGCACAGATGGCAGCGGACATTAGCGCCACTTCCCCAACCCGCACAAACACAAGTGTCTGTGTGAGCCCCTGCCTCGGAGACCCCCTGCGCCAGCCTTCCCAGTCCTTCCTCTCACGCGGGGGGTCTCAGCAATGGATCTGGCCTCTCCCCTTGGCCCAGGAGCTCTCTCAGCCCACTCCTGGTGGGGAGGAGGCACCTTGCCGTCCTCAACTCCGCCCCTTTGCCCCTCATCACTTACACCGCACAGCACTGTGACTGGGGGGCCACAGCGCCCCACAGTGCAGGCCGCTGCTTGCCACTCACACCTCTCATACTCACACCAACGGGTTTTGCCTGGCAGCAGGTGACCCTGGGTGTCTTGACGTGTCCTGGTTTGGGTGAGAGACAGTCTTCTCCCCTAATACACAAGCCCCTCAGAGCCACAAACAACAGTTCCATCCAGTCTCTGAAATCCATAAGGATCACTGGGACAGGGAGAAGGACCAGGCTTCTGGCGGCCTTGGGAGGACAGTCCTCGAGCCAGAAATCTGTGACACGACCTTTTCCCCAGCCCTC